CCTGCCTGCCTCTGCGAGGCTGTGGGTGACAGTGCCCTGGAGAGGTGCCGTGACTCACTGATTCCGGAGCCGATCTCAGAAACTCTTGCCCCTGTGGTGGTACGGTAGGACTGTAGGATCCCTCCTCCACCAGGATGAGACTAATCAGCTCTCTGCTTTCACCAGAGCAACAGAAGCTGTTTCTGGCCTCTGCTAAGGCCTGAGAGGAATCTGGGCAGATGGCAGCTGGTGGGAGAGGCGCTTGGAAACGGGGTTTGTTTCTCGTTGACATCCGAGATAGCTGCTTTAGAAGTAGTGAAATGCTCAGCTACAGCACCTATCACCAAGGGCAGTGTCTTACTAGATCAAACGGCTTTTAGATTTATTTATTCAGGAGAAGCATGTGATGTCAAATTAATCGGTGGTATTTCACAAGTTGCATTTATAACTACTTTGTGAAAGAAAAGGTTTGTGAGGTTTTATAATACAGCATTTGAATTTTCTAAACGATTAAAATTCAGCAAGTACACTGAAGCTTGTAATTTAAATGAATTCCCTTCAGCCAGCGCTCACTGGTGTCTGCTTATGTTATCTGTAAGCTTTGAGACTTCTGTGCTCCAGTGAGAGAGCACGGTCAGTGTTAAGGTGAGAGAATGGCCTGACTGCACCTACTTTCAGCAAACTGCTTGTGGACTGCTTACAAGCATGAAATTGTTTCTTGAAGAAAATCTTAGATGATATTGAATGTGAAATTCTCAAGTTTTACTCAATCAGTTTCCACATTAGCAAACAGAAGAAGATTGCATTGACTGAATAAGTGTATATTATATTCTCAGCTTTAATTATAAACCAATTCTGATTTTAAGTCCCCTGAGTTCATGATCCTATGGAGATGTATGGATCTACTTGAGTTGATTCAATAACATTTGTGCTTAAACACACAGCTATGTTAACAGTAGCGTCACAGAGTCACATTTTTCTTCTTTTTTTAATAATTATAGATCAACAAGCCTGAGAAGCTGGACAAGCCAGAGAGCTGTGATAATGTTAAGGTGGTTGTTCGATGCCGGCCTCTTAATGAACGAGAGAAAGCTACGGGCTACAAGATGGCAGTCAACGTAGATGAAATGAGAGGAACTATAACTGTTCATAAAACAGACTCATCCAATGAGCCTCCCAAGACATTTACGTTTGACACAGTGTTTGGACCAGAGAGTAAACAGCTGGATGTCTATAATTTAACTGCAAGACCTATTATTGACTCTGTCCTAGAAGGATACAATGGTAAGTCCCTTGTTATTTTAAGTCAAGGATCCCATCTCCTATTCGGTGCATTGTTAGAGTGCCTGCTGATCTTATTTAAGGGAGTTTTGCCTTCTGAGGGCTATAGCCCTGTATTGTTTCTGTTGTGGCCTCTAACTTAAAATAGCCTAAAGGTACTTGCTGTTCTGAGTAGTCAGTGATTGTATCTACTGTGATCATTAACGGTGGGAGATCGGTGATGAACAAGACACAGCTGAGGTCAGATAGCTGTAGGTTTTTATTCTGTATCTTCTGTTTGCAAAAGATACACATTTTGTGTTGTTATCAGAATTCTCAGTGGCTCTTCACTATACAATTTCAGTAACCAGGCAGCTGCCGCGGTCCTGCAGTAACTAGGTATGCATACCAGACTTTTGCATATAACTGCTGCATTTTCTCCTCTAAACTTTGCTGTTTTAAACTAAGATGACTAGTTAAATACATCTGCCCTACCCCACAGATGATCTGTTGCTTCCTACAGCTGGGAAGAGTATGACCATGATTTGTGTGTGTGTGTGTCTGTTATGCATGTAAATGTGTTGCGTAAAGGAAAGCAGATGCTGGTAAGGCAGCAAATTACTGCTTTCCATAACAGTATGCTATGAACAGCAACAGATTACGAAGTTTCTAAAGGTTTGTAAAATGCCTAATAAGCTTGTGTGCTAATACGCCCAGGTTTCAGCTGATTATAGTTCAGCTTTTCTGAATTGTAATGTCAGTGGCTTCACAATCAAAACTTGAGTTTTCGGCAGTGCTAGGCTAAGCTTAGGAACCAGTATATTTCTGGAGTACCAGGGTCTGGGATCTCAGCAAATTTTCCGGATGTCCTGTTCAGGCTGATTACCTAGTCCAAATTGTAGCTGCTTCTGCAGGTTCAGAACTGGGCTGATGCCATGGCCTGTGTTGCAGAAGCCTCACGCTGTTTCTGCTGTGGCTTAGCGCACTATCAATAGTTGATTTTGCAGTTGGTATATAATGATCTTCCTCTAATTGGCCATGTTATTAATTGGGCTTGCCTTAATTATTTGTGTGTGAGACCTAAGTGTACTAGCATTCCATATTTTAATCACTCTGCACAGTTAAAACTGACTTTTTCTTAGATATCTTGCAGGCTGAATAAAACAGTGGGTCAGCCCTGTTTGCTGTGACTGTCTAGCATTTCTGTTGCTCCTAGCCTTGTACAGTGTCCACTGGAGCGAGTGGAAGATTTCGACTCCATAAAAATAGAGGTGTTTAGTGCTGTTGGGCTAAGAAGGGATGAAGCAAAACTGCAGTTAGCAACTTCTTAGAGTTTGTTCATATCTTCTGATCCTTCAGGTACTATTTTTGCGTATGGTCAGACTGGAACAGGCAAAACTTTCACCATGGAAGGGGTCCGAGCAGTTCCTGAGCTCAGAGGCATCATTCCCAATTCCTTTGCCCATATATTTGGTCACATTGCCAAGGCAGAGGGGGATACAAGGTAAACAGCTTCTCTTCACTGCCTCTGTCTTTTGCGTGTCTGTCTGTAGTAGGAGCCTGACCTTGACAATGGCAACTGAAACGGTACCTCTGGCCCTAGCTGAAAGACTCCTACTTAGGCAGTTCTTGATGGGCTAGCAGGATTGTGTTGGTATATCGCTACGTTTTCTTTGCACTCTGTGATTGGGTTTGTTGGACTTTAGCAAATGTCTTACTAAGAAAGCTACCCAGCTCTTTGTCTTCAGGTTTTTAGTTCGCGTGTCTTACCTGGAAATTTACAATGAAGAAGTGCGGGACCTGCTAGGAAAAGACCAGACACAGAGATTAGAGGTGAGTCTGCTGTTCTGAACCTGATGTTTGTTTTGAATCAGTGAGCAATACTATATTTTAAAGACTAGAGAAGCACTTGAAGGGAAGCGGGAGGTTGAGGTCCTCAGCACCTGAGCTATTTCCTTTAAGATACAGTAGCTGGATATCACTACTGACTTCTCTGAATCTTTTTCCATTTGGTCAGCTGCATAGTGAGAAACTGGCTGTTCCATCGGAGTCACTTTTGTGCCTGCAGGTCTATCCCAAAGGTCCCCTAGAAATTAGAGACTGAGATTTGAAGTCACTATTTGCCACTGGGGAAACCAGCAGAATGTTGTCTTGCATGAGTCTTTATTCCTTAGCTACTCTGATTCTGAGTGTTGGAGTGTTTTATGTGCAAACCAGAACCTCAAGGAGTAAATCACTGTATTATTACAGTACCACTGAAAATTTGCTGTCGGGGATCTCCTAAGGATGCTCTAGCTAAACTGTTTCTCTCTTAGGTTAAAGAGAGACCTGATGTGGGAGTTTATATCAAAGACCTTTCAGCTTATGTTGTAAACAATGCAGATGATATGGACAGAATCATGACTCTGGGCCACAAGAACCGTACGTAGCCTTGCTGTGGGCAGGTGTATCATGCAAGCACATCAAAGGTGTGGTTATGAGACCGCAGTAAGAGATCCTAGTCCTAATACTGGAAAGATTGTTCAGCTGAGCAGAGCAAAAAGGATACCTCCTCCCAACCCCCTTTTGTGCAGGGGCAGGTGAAGAAGGCTGTACCTCCTGCATCAGCCCGTGCCAGTGGGGGAAACAGCAAAGGGGAAGATGGAATGAGGGTGGTCAGCATTGTTGGAACTACTAGTGTGTGTCTTGGTCCTTTTCGCTCTTCAGTTCTGATCAGGATGAACAACAACTAGCCCTGTGCTGTGCTGTTGGTGGGAGGTGGTTCATGTTTTCTGGAACACTTCTTAGTTAAGCTCAGATCCTTTTATGACCCAAAGTTTTGACTACTGTTGCTCTTGGCATGGGTTGCTGTATTCTTATTTCTGAAAATATGGCTGTTTTCAGGGATCAGCTGTGAATGCTTTAGGCCACTGATCTTTGTAGCCTTAAAGAAACAGATGAGAACTACTGCTGCTCTTGGGATGGGAGTCTGTGGTTGGCTTAGAGCTACAACAGGCTCTAACACTTCTGCTAGTCCAGATTGGAAATGTGCGGCAACTTCAGTGCCCAAGAATTACAGTTTGCTGCTGAGTCTGAGCATTCATCTTCCATCTTCTGAAAAACAGGGTTGGGTAAAGAGATTTGAGAGCAAGAGGAGTGTTACAGGAGCACGTGATTCCTTATGAAGATGACATTTGCTTTTTCTCTTTGTTAAAAGGTTCTGTTGGTGCCACAAACATGAATGAGCACAGCTCTCGTTCGCACGCCATTTTCACTATCACTATTGAGTGCAGTGAGAAGGGGGTTGATGGAAACATGCACGTGCGCATGGGCAAACTGCATCTCGTTGATCTTGCTGTAAGTAGGACCAGCCAGGTCTACTGTAATGCATGCTGGGCATCGCTGCTCATGTATGCAGTGTTGAAGGCACAGTAAATGGCATGCCCCACGCCCAGACTTCTGGTTGACATTTGATTTCTGTGAAGTATTCACTTGGGGCCTTAAATCAGAGCTGTACCAGGAAGAGTCTTCAGTGTACCTAGAGCCTGTTCCAGTAAATAGAGCTCTCTTGCTTCTATAAATTAATCACTACATGGATAAACTATATTGGAAAGAGCTCTCTGGACAGTAGAACTGGGTCTTTGCAAGAGTGTGTGTGTTTGTGTTTCGTTTTTTTAAGAGGGTTGTGACCATGGAGTTTATCACTTGCAGGTTCCCTCCTTCTGTCACTCGCTTTGAACCAACATAGATGTGCTGGTAAAATGTCTTTAGCCCAAACTTTACGCTGGAGTATCTTTCCTTGGAGAAGATGCAAGAGAGGGGAGACTAAAGGCATTCCATGTCTGCATGTTAACTTTATTTATATGATGTATGTTTAGGTTGCTCTGTGAAACCCTTAAGAGTAATTGCAGTGCTGTGTTTCCTTCTTGATCTGCTGATAGGAAAGGCTGGAGATGGTGCTTAGCTGCTCCAGCTGAGGTGCCTCATAACTGCTGACTTCTCATAAATAACGCTTTTGTTCATGGGGACAAAATCTCCATTTTCCCCACTGCATTACTTTGAGCAATCCAGAATTTACTGGCACTGAAAGCTTCAGTTAGGACCTGTTTGACTTGTGTCTTTAACAATGTCTGAGGTACTTAGCCAGGTTCTCTAATAATGCATGAGGTAGGTAGTGACATTGCTGCTAGGAAGACTTCAGGTATAGTTGATCCTATTTGGAGGGAGAAGATGTATTGGAGGATCTGTTGTAACTCCTGCTTCTGCTTCTTGTTCCCTTTCCAGGGTTCTGAAAGACAGGCAAAAACTGGAGCCACGGGGCAGCGACTGAAGGAGGCTACTAAGATCAACCTCTCTCTTTCCACACTGGGGAATGTTATCTCTGCACTGGTGGATGGCAAGAGCACCCATGTGCCCTACCGTAACTCCAAACTTACACGGCTCCTTCAGGATTCTCTGGGGGGCAACTCCAAAACCATGATGGTAAGCTGAGAGATGCCCTTTCCAGTGCCAGCTGTCGAGCTGCATTTTTGCAGGGGCAGCGTAGTGACTTTGCAATGAGAACATCCTGGCATTTAGCTCTTTTTCAGAGCTGTTTGCAGCTTAGAGAACCTTCTGTGTGCATCTTTTTCTGTCTTTTTCTCTTTGCCTCTGTACAGATGAGGTTCTAAACACAGTGCAAATGTACACATGTGCATAAGATCAAATAGAAGCTGTGCTTGGCTAGGCAAAAGCAGCTTTGGTGAAGCAGCAGGAAAGCTTGGGAGAGAGTAACAGTGTGAGATTGGCAGAGCTGGGGACGGGTCCCTGAAATTACTTGTTCTGGGCTCTGGCGCTCTGTTCTCCATTAACTTGGTCTTCCATGTGTCACAGTGTGCAAACATTGGACCGGCAGACTACAACTATGATGAGACTATCAGCACTCTCAGGTATGCAAACCGAGCCAAGAATATCAAGAACAAGGCCAGGATTAATGAAGATCCCAAGGATGCTTTGCTCCGCCAGTTTCAAAAAGAAATTGAAGAACTTAAGAAAAAACTGGAGGAAGGTGAGATTCTCCTTCCTCCTAGCATTTCTCTGTATACCGATGCTCCTTCTGTTGGAGCGTGAGCATTCTTTGCTATTTGAAGATGTATCATGCGAGTTTGGTAGCTGATGCGGGCCAGTGTCCTGGCTTCGTTTGCCCTGCTGGGTCCCAGGAGAGGTGTCCCAAGGGCAGTGTGGCGGTGGCCCGGCGGGCACGGGGCTTTGCCCGCTAGGTGGCACTTGGCACCAGGGTAAGCGATGGCTTCTGGGCCCTGTTAGGTGTGCCCGGGCTTGCCCGGTCAGCAGGAGGGCTCTGGGCATGGCTGGACACAGAGTAGGGAATTAAAATGGCCTGTAACAAAAGGTCAAATGCTTCCCCTGTTTGAGGAGGAGGGATGCATTTTTCAGGAGAAAAATGAACCAAACTTGTGGAGCTAGAACTGGATCTGGCTTTCAAACACTGCCTAGAGAAACAAGAAGCTGCTTTAAGCCCTGTAACTTCATGGCCTTGTGACACTTATTCCATCAACATCAAAGGACTGCCAGAGGGATGCTTACTAAACAGTGACCTTGGCCCAGCATCTCTGGAGAGAGATGCTCACAGCACAGAACAGCTGTGGCAGTAACTCCAACATGGCTTGCTGTTTGGAGTCTGCCCCGTTCAGGAGAAGCAAGAAATGGTCAGTAACGCTTTCTTCAAGGGCTGGGAGCTGGGTATAGCTGTTTGTTCCCTGGCGGGCCGAGGGTGGCTTCTTAAATTTTAGACTCTAAGCTACAGAACAAGCAGCCTTATGTTTGCTAACATTACTGGAAAGCCAGGATGTTAAATGTTGGATTTTATTCAGTTGGGTTTCCAAACTCAGCCTGAAACATGAGCATTGTGTCTGCAATGGCAACAATGATAAATGTCCAGTTTCACGAATGTTTTTCTCAATTAACAGCCATCTAGATTCATGTATATGGGTGTCTGATTTAAGTAGCAAGTCTGTGTGAACTTAGTTCATCTAAGCATTTTCTCTGGGGAGATCCTGCTGGGAGAACTTTGTAGCTTAATGCTTCAGCAGTGCAAGGATGCGTTTTCCCATGAAAAGCATCCACTTGCGCTTTAACATATACACACTGACTTAACAGCGTTAAATTGCTTATCGTGACTTTCCTTAAGTTTCCTAAGCCATGGCAAACTGTCTGTCTGCTCAACAGTTAATGACTTCTGCAGTGCTTGTAAGCTGATGTTGGACACTGGTGGGTTTGGCCAAATGCTGCTGTCACAGTAACAAGCTGGTATGAGGTGAAGGAAAGCACATCAAAAAGCACACTTTTCTGTTCTAGGGGAAGAGATATCTGGTTCCGAGACGAGTGATTCTGAAGAGGAGGATGAAGATGACGATGGGGAGATCGGAGAGGATGGGGAGAAGCGGAAGAAACGGCGGGGTAAGGCAGTAGAGATTCCTGTCAGTGCCACTGGTCTCTTCTTATCCAGGAGCTGGTGTCAAAAACCGTAGCCAGAGCCAGGCGGGAAAAAGTGGAGTTGTAGAGCTGCCCTACTGCCGCTGCAATTATCATGCCTCTCCTAGAAACGAAGCGATTTGGTGCCGTCTCCGTAGATGTACAACTCTGAACCCGTGTAGTATCTGCTTCCACTTGGGTAGTTGTGCTTGTGGTAACATCATCTCTTGTGGTGGCTCCCTGGTTGCCGCAAGGTGGCTGTGTATGGCTTCTGACTGGTGGTGTGGAACTTCCCCTGCTCCATGGAGGTGGGAGGAAGAAGGCAGCAGAGATCAATGGTAGGCAGATGTGGTTTTTATAACCATGGGAATGATTGGAGGGGAATTTTGGCTGTGGTTTAGGCAAAGGATTCATCTGTCTTATGGATAACTGACTCTTCTGGTGTCCTATTTTATGCTGATAGAGGGAAAACTTGACCTTTGGGTGTCTTTGTGCAAGCTGAAAAGCTGAATGGGAGCTGCATGTCCCTTTTTTGGGAGCATTCTGGAAATCCCATGGTGAAGTTTGCGTTTGTCCTACATCAGTGTTAAACTACTGCATACCATCTAAACCCCAATTTTTTTTTGCTGAACCTAGAACTGCAGGTCACTGAGTACCGTGGGATGCTGTGGCTTCCAGGGAGCTTGCTATGCCCCTAGAACATCTCTAATGTTTCTTCATGTGGAGTAGAGAAGTCAAGCCCAGTGCTGCACCTCAACTTCCAGCTTCTCTAGTAAACTAATTTTGACATTCAAACTGCCTTCTTGTCCTGAAGCACCCACATCTGTTAAAAAAATTCTGTTAAAGCATTCCTACTTTAGATGCACTCTCTTCATTTTCGTATCTGTCCAAGTAGAGTTGTAAATGACCTTTGTTACGCCTTTGGTGATAGTTGTAACAATTTTGGTTTTCACCTTTTGGTAATTTCTAGAAGCAAAATGATTGACCACTGTCTACATCAAGAACCAAGTCCTGCCCAAATCTCCTCCAAAGAGGAGACCACCTTCAAAATGCTGCTTTTGAAAGGAGTAGAGGGGCGAGTAACTGACTTACTCAACTTCCAAACAAGCCGCTGTAGTTAAGTTCCCAAAGTAAGGGTGCTGCTTAGCAGGAGTACACCCAGGAACTGTCCCTGTGTAAGCTGATTCTGCCTTCTAGAGGGAAAAGTGCACGTTGTCATGTGCATAAGACTGGAAAGGACTCCTGGTCACTGAATCCTCTGCTACTGCAGATATCCACAGCCTTCTCCACTATGATCTGATTTTCTGTGCTGTTGTTGCTTGAAATGGAAGCTGCCTTGGCATGTTGTTTTAAGCTGTAGGCTGGTTAAGATGGGTTTTAACTGAAGTGTCTTTCTGAGCATGCTATTTTTGTGCTGGGAAATGGTGGCTTTGCAAGCTGAGTCTGGGAGGGATCCTAGCAAATGCTTCCTAATGGGAACTTGTGCCTTTTTGAACTAGGTTGCTGGTTCTTCTGGGTTTCTTTCCTTTAGAACTAACTTCCCATCTGCATGTTTCTTCCTCTCTGGGTTTTTCTGTGGGACGCATTTCTGTTTTCCAGGCAGTAGCAGCAGCAGTAGTTCAGACTCCACATGCTCTGTCATAGAGAAACCTCTGGATAAGTCCTTCACTAGTGAGTGGGAGCTCTTAAGTCCTTTAAGCTTTGGCCTTTCCATAATCTGCACACTCCATTTTGCAATGCCGCACTTTCCCCTGCTATGTCTGTTGGAAAGATAAACCTGAACTTTTAACTCTGCTAAAGCATGCCTTTCCTTTGCTGCTTCCATGCTTGAAACAGTTGTTCGGTGTACACATTGTTAGCCAGATATGTGAGAGAATAGGAAGCAATTTAGTATGCTGCTTGAACAAGATTTAAAGACAATTGAGAAATAATAGGTTAAAAAAGACAGTTTGCAACGTCCGTGTTAAACACTCCCCCTAAAATACCAGGAAAAAGTCTGAGCTAACTTTTTAATGGGAGTTGCTACAATATGAGTTCATGAAAAGGACAGCTAGACAGGTGAAATGGGTTGTGCTGTGTTACATTGGACTCTGGCTTCCCAAAATTAGTTTTGGAGAAAATGAATGGAACAGTCAATCAATCAACGCGAGATTTATACTTGCGAAGAAAACATGGTAACGCTTGGTTGATTGGCTTTATTTTGGCAGATGATTAAAAAAAAAAAGTCCTCGGTTGGTGGTTGGGGTTTAACTGCCCCATGACATTAAGTTCTTGATCATTGTGGGGCTTAGTTCCTCTGAACAAGGAATCTAGATTTTGATCTAGCAGTGAGGAAAGTCTGGTCTGCTCTGGTCAGAGAGAGGGCTCGGTGCCTTTAAAAACTCTACAGTCACTGAAGAAATAAGTCACATCTCAGGACTTGGCTTGTAAGGACTTCACCTGCTGTTGTGGTTATCCTGTATAGATGCAGTCCACTCTCCTCCCTGTGTGGAGAGAGTCTGGAAAGTATTGCTATATAGTTCAATCACACTTACACTAGTTATGTTAGTGGAAAGCATCAGCTCAGAGGAATTGTGGTAGTGGGGTAAGAAGGATCACAACCTAAGGGAGACCTTTGGGTCATACAATGGTAGGCTTGGAATCTGCTTGCTTCAAACTTGCTCTTTCAAAGCTTGCTTGAAACCCGAGTATTTTATTTGGATGAGGACAGTTAATAGCAAACTGCTGACGTGACAGTGGGTGGATGAGTCCATCTCCTGCAAGTTTGGAGACAGCTCTGTTGTGGAAGTCGCGCTGGGCTTTTGGTGATTAGGATAAGCGTGGCTCTGTGTGGTTTGGGATATTAACTGTCCTCAAGCGTGGCCCTTTTGCATGTGGTGTCTTTCATTATCCCTTTCTTGTTCTGCCTTTTTTGCTGCACTTGCTTGAATAACCAAGACTGGCTATATACCTCTATGGAAGCATCAGTTACTGCAAATTAACCTACTAATACCCTGTGTAATTAAATGAAGAAATCTTGTGCTGAGACTCCCTATGTGCAACTGTCATGTATCTTGCAAAGAATTGGCTTGGAAACTTGCTTAAAACTTAAAACAAGTCGTCTTTGTGCTAATATTTTACAGGTAATATAACAGAATTGGCTATCCTGAGCTGGGGCAGGGGCTGGGGGGGGAGCATTAAGTCTCCTATTGAAGAAGAAATCTACCCTCTTAAATTGTTTCTTAGGGCATGATCTTTGCGGCAGGCTCATAATGTTACATTTAAATTCTGCATTGCATTGAATGGGCAGAAGAATGCAAGAGTGAGCTGAAGATTATCCTGGATATGCAAAGCACTCTGAAGTACAGAAACTTTCTCTGCTTTAGCGTAAAATCGTAATGCATTAATGTTTGCTCTAATGGAGTTTTTTTAGTGATGATTATCCTGTGTTTTCTACTCTAGAAATTAAGGTTTGTTTTGATGCTGATGATCTTTGTCCAAAATGATCAAAGCAATAATATATTTTTCTTTCCTCCTCTTTTTACGCATATGCTGCCTCTGCGATTTGCTTTCTGCTTCCTCTTAATGCAAGATCAAGCAGGTTGGTGTAATTGATTTCCACCTCCTTATAATACAATTGCAGAGCTTGTGAAACAGTCTTGCAACTTGGTTTGGTTCACCTCTTTCTCCTAAACTGAGAATATATAGGGCTGTGTACTAACAGTAAGAAGCCTTTATCTGGCTTATCTCTTTTTATATGATGATCTTGGTATAGCACTTTCAGAAAGCTTCTTACTCAGACTCATTAGTGAGAGATTTTTTTTCACCACAGATCCAGAAATAAGTGCTTATTATCAGATTCCAAAGTTTAGCAGATGGAAACTAAGACATTGCTGCTGTGCTGAAGTCCTTACCTTGCCACAAAACTAATTATATTCTCTTGTGTGCATGAACAAACATGCAGACAGATATGGACATATGGGCATGCATGTTTACAAATACAGTGCATTTTATCTGTCTGCTAGAGGTCATATATGTCTATAAATAAAGCTGAATGCCACAAAGACTGGAGGGAAGGGAAGCCTTTTATTGAACATGAGCTTTCTTGAGCATGTTCTGACCATATGCATTATCACTGTGAAAAACAGTCCCTTGACAGTCGATGGCTTCTGTGAGTTTCTAGGCATCTGGATTCTATGGGATGCGTCGGTGGGGTTATGTCTGGAGAAGAGCAAAACAAGAAAATGAAGGATTGATGGGTGAATAAAGGGAGATATAGGAGAGTTGTAGGTTTGAGGAAGTGCTCATAGGCTGGGCTCTCGCTCACTCCAAGGATCTCGTGTTCATCTACCTCAGGCATTCTTGGGATTACAATGAAAGTTGACTCAAGACTTGTGGAGTGACTTTGGAGGGCAGTAGCCTCACACTTTGTTTCAAGACTACAGGTGTTCGGAAGCATCCCTTCAGGCTGATAGGTTCAGTGAGTTGCTCTGGCCACTTCCTTTGTAATTCCCTATGAAATGTGTCTGGTTTGCTGTAGTAGTATGTTGTAAAGACAGTTGATAAGGCACAGCAAACCTCAGTGCTTTCAAATCTGTGGGTAGTCACTGTTACATAGACTGAATACCATCAAAAAGTTTCTTTAATTGCCTGTTTTTCATATGGCTGCTCTGAAAGTCACTAGTCTCTGTATTTTCATAGTAGTGCATTCTTAAAATACTTACGTGCTCACTTTGCGATAGGTAAGCCCCTAAGTAGGACACTGAACAAGGGGTGTAGTGGGGATGCTAATCAGAAATTCGAGTGTGTAACTCTTGGTAGCTTAGGTCTTGTAGCTGTAGGTCAAGGCAGTCTTCTGTTTTCCTTCACTTGGTCTAATCTACAGAGTTAGATAATGTGAGTTTTCAGCTCAGAGTTCTTTTTAGGTCTTCTTAGGCAGTGTTCCTTCTCCAAGTGCTCTTCATAAGTTTTCCATTTTGGGGACACTATAGTGTTGGCTATATAGCATTCCTTCGCTGTAGGAACTGGTGACAGCTGGACAATGTTAAAATGGGATTTGAAAGTGAGTTGTGCCCAGCTTGGAGCTGACATCTAATTAAATGAATTTTTGTTAAATGAAGTATTTAATCTGAACTTGGAAAAAAAAATGCTGTGGTACAGAGGCTCTTATTTTTCTGTTTTCCCTATCTCTTCCAAAGGCAAAAAGAAAGTTTCCCCTGATAAGATGGTCGAGATGCAAGCAAAGATTGAAGAGGAGAGAAAAGCTCTTGAAACTAAGCTTGATATGGAAGAGGAAGAAAGAAATAAAGCCAGAGCTGAGCTGGAGAAGAGAGAAAAAGACTTGCTTAAAGCTCAGTGAGTACCCTGCTCTGAGCAGTTTGTGTGGTCATGTGGGTTTTTCCTTTCTTAATCTACAACTCGGTTACGGTATCTGGAGATGCATGGTGAGGTGCCTGTCAAACTTAGTATAAACTGAACATCAACTCATGCTATTAAACTGAAAGAGGAGCTTACTCTGCTTTCAGAGTTTAGTGCAGATACAAAAGACAAACTTTATCGTTTTGCCACTTCTTTCTTCTCTTAACTTTAGTTGTGCAAGATAGCCTAGAAACATAAATGAATCCTCCAAATGCTGGAGACCTGTGAAGAGCAGCAGTACAGTTGTACTGCTTGGTCAGTGGGTAATAGCTGTGTAGCAAACCAGGTTTTCTGCGGCACGCTGTCACGAGCATGTCATTTTGGGTGCAGGGGTTCTCCACTCTGGAGCTGAAAAGCTGCTGAGATGGCACTGGCCCATGCAAATAGGACAGGCCTGCTGCCAGAGGCTGCTCCAAGAGCAGCCAGCATTCCTGGTTTGCATCTCAGCTGCCCTGCTTTCATCTCTGTTCACTCGCTTCCATTTCTGCAGCTGCCTTGGAGCATCGCTGTGCTGGCAGGGCCCTCGGGGAGGCGGTGCCTTGGGTAGCCTGGTGATATTACCAGTGCCTTGCAGCCCCTCACAGAGGGGACTTGCAGCAGGAGAGACTTCTCTGCTGACCTGGTTTCGCTTGCGGGAAAGCGATGGGAGCTGAGGCTCAGGGAACTCCCTGCATTCACTTGCACTGCCTCACCCTTGCTTAAACCTTTGGCAGCAAGACAAGTTTTTCCAGCCCCATGAATGTTGTCTGGACTGTAAAACTGAGCTGGACCTGCTGCCTTGTGAGCACTGTAGGACAGGAAGTTTCACGCTTACCTGTCTCTCTAGACAAGAGCACCAATCCCTACTGGAGAAACTGTCTGCATTGGAGAAGAAGGTGATTGTGGGAGGCGTGGACTTGCTGGCAAAAGCAGAGGAACAAGAGAAGCTTCTAGAAGAATCAAATATGGAACTGGAAGAACGAAGGAAGAGAGCAGAACAGCTTCGGAAGGAGCTTGAGGAGAAGGAGGTGGGGTTGTATGCTGTAGCTGTCTGAAAACAGCAATGGTGGGACACACCACGTTGTGTGCCTTGGCATGGCTCACGTGGATGAAATGTGGCTCTACTCTGAAAGCACAGCAGAAGCTAACTGCTTCAGAGGCCACGGCAGTGCTCAGCTCTGGGACTGTGTGATCACTGTGGGTCTGAGCCAGCCTGGCTAAGCCAGGTCTCCGTGCCCTTGGCAAATACTTCGTTTTGTTCGAGTAGTTTCTCCTCTTGTTCATACTGTTGCAGAGAGTTTCTTTGATTATGTTAATGTGTGGATGTCTGTGCTGAATGTTGCACGTAGCAAGAACGCTTGGACATCGAGGAGAAGTACACCAGCCTCCAGGAAGAAGCACAGGGGAAAACCAAAAAGCTGAAGAAAGTTTGGACCATGCTTATGGCTGCAAAATCAGAGGTTAGTATCTGAAGTCCTCAACCTGTGATCATGCGAGGGACTATAGCTGGGAAGGGTAAGCCATCAGCTTTGTACGACTGGAAAAAGTGCTGCGTGTTTAGAAATGTCTTTCTGTGCTGTCCATTTGGGTCATGTAATTCAAAAAGATCTAAGTCTGGTGTCACAGCTTCCTTCACAGGGGCATGTTGTAGAGCTTTTCCCCACGCCAGGATGAGAAGAGGGTATGTGTGAGACCCTGAGATACTCAGAACTTCACAGAAAAACACTAGTTATTTCTGAAACAAAATAGGTTGTTTGCTGACAGCCCAGTCTCCTGCTTTGCAGCAGTTCAAATGCTCCTCTGCTCTTAGCTGGCTGTCCTTTCTACCTGTTGCTCTCATTATCTCTTCCTCAGTCACTGGATCAGTGTGTCCTTTGGCTGGTATCTGGAGTTCCTGTTTCATGAAAAGTGCATTTTGTCTTTGGGATCAGAGATTTTCCTTGAAATCTTGCCAAGGATATAACTTGTCTGCACACTCTTCATCTGCTCTTAGCTGGTGCAGAGCTTGGACTGGCAGAAGGCCAGTTTCGTTTCTGTGAAACTGAGAACTTAATGCTCCTTTCAGCCATCTCTGAGCTGGAATGCTTCCAAAAGTTTATTCTTCAGAGATAAATATTCTAGTACTTATAACCAGAGTTTGTTTTAATTTCCCAAAACCCTTGTATAGGCAGAAGACTGTTCTTTTAGGCTGTTACCATGTCTTAAGCTAACTCTGATGCCTCGCAAATGCCTGATTTGTCTTCAGATGGCAGATCTGCAACAAGAGCATCAGAGAGAGATTGAAGGATTGCTAGAGAATATTCGACAGCTGAGCAGGGAGCTTCGTCTTCAGATGCTTATTATAGATAACTTCATTCCTCAGGACTACCAGGTAAAGACAAAGAGCCTAAGCCTGTGATGTAGGATTGTGCTGTGCATGCTGAGCCCTCTGGCTTTTATTCTGTCCAACAAATGCAACGAGTTGTCATCTTTTCTCTTCATGAGGTATTCACAGTGAGCTGAATGACACCTGTCTATTAAGTTGGAGCACAAAGGAGTCAGTGCATATTGCTGTGAGCTTTTCTTTGCTGTGGCTCAGCTGAGCAGGTGCAACTCAGTTGCATTCATGTGTTTGTGCCCTTATCTGAATTGTTAGAACCAGGGGATGTTAAAATAGGAAAAGATGCTTTTGTCAAGTGACTCTTGTAATGTGGTGAACTTCTGCTTGAAGTTGACTTGGAAGAAGATCAGAGTTGGTGGGTTGGGTGCATTTGGCTCCAAAACCAGCACAATGATGTGAATAACGAATGCAGAATGGCTTTGTTGTATTTCTCAGGGGTTTTGATAACTCTGGCTACAATTCTGTGGTTATGGAATCTGTTTTAGGGAAGTGTATAATATGTCAGGGGTTGTAAGCAGAGTGATATACTAACCTCAGTTCTCTTGCAGCATATTTTCCTAACTTTAAAAAAAAAAAAACAAAACACATTCACCATGTGTTTAACTGGTGAATTCACTGTGTGCCTATGCTCTGGGTTTGTTCAAAAGCTCTTTTTTCCACTGTGCTTGAAGTTGTGCTTGGTAATGTCTGATATTAATATGAAGTGGTAAGACTGAACTTGGAACTCTTCACATGTTTTCTTTGTGACCCCAATATCCAGAAAATTTGTGACGAGCTTAAATATGATGCACGCTATTTAATAGAAAACATAAAAGTTACTTCCCTTAATCTTTCTTTTTTTTCCACATTACGATGTGTGTTTATTGCTATCCTGATGGCATTGGCATGATAGAAAATCCATGCTTTAGTGGGAACTCCAATGCATATGATTTGGGAGTGGTATTTTTCTCTTCTGTAGTCTTCCAAGTGTAAATAGGAGTTTTTGAACAGGACAGCCACGTCATGTTCAAAACAACTTGGAATGGTCAAGACTTCTTAAGCAGCTTGTCCCAGCCTTTAGGGATGTATGTTCTGGAAAATGCATCTGGAGGGTAAATTGTGCAAGTCTGTAACAATTACTGTTTTAATTTTTCTAGGAAATGATTGAAAACTATGTTCACTGGAATGAAGACATTGGAGAATGGCAGCTGGTAAGCTAGCCGACTGGCTCGTGTACAAGCTAATGTTAGCACGGGCTTCTGAGGAGTTTAATTGAGCCCAGAAGTAAATTGATAAAGCTGTAGTTGGTTTTTCTGTGCACAATAGACTTTACAAACAGACCTTTGTTTCTTTCAGAAATGTGTTGCATATACAGGAAATAATATGAGGAAACAGACACCTGTCCTGGATAAAAAAGAAAAAGATGTGAGTGACTCTTTATAAGCATGTGTTGAACTGCATAGGTCTAAGTTCTGCTGCCTGTGTCTGCTACTGCATGTTTGTGGGGAAACTGTCCAATTTCAGTTTCTCCTCTTTTGAAGAGATGAGTCTTTCTAGGGTTGATCAGTGTATAAAATGATTCTGATGTTTTTGTTTTGTGGGGTTTTCTTTGTTTTGTGTGGTTTTTTTTTTTTTTAGCCCTTTGAAGTGGACCTTTCCCATGTTTACTTAGCTTACACTGAAGAAAGCTTGAGGCAATCTCTGATGAAGCTGGAGAGGCCGAGGACTTCAAAAGGAAGATCCAGGCCCAAGACGGGTAGAAGGTGAAGAACTTTGGAGTATCTATATGTAGTGGGGGATTTATCCAGGGGAAGGCTTAAGTTTGTGCATGCAAATTCACTGTAAGGTTTCAAATATTTGCTTAATGACAAGACAAAATGCTAAAATTTTGCATGGTCCAAGGTTTACTGGTGTCACGTGTGACAGAACTAAGCTGAAATCTCTACTACAGTAAAATCTTGTCCAGAAAGACTTGTCTGGGGACTCTTCTGATGCCCTTTTGCTGCAGCCCCCTCTTCCAGCTTCTTGCTTTTATTTTATGGTGTCCTGTGGTTCAGTTTAACATCTGACACAGTGACAGTGCATGTACTGTTATTACTGGAAAGTAATGTGTTGTTGGGGGAGATTTCAACATGGGTTTTCTTGGTTGTTTTTGGTTGGCTGGTTCTGACAAATGTTTGTGGACAAGTACCATTGTGTAGTTTCTACTTGAAACGTGACTGGTCCCTGTCTTTCCTGGACAGCATAATGATGTGTGTGTGGTGTTATTTTCTTCCCTTTCCTTTCTGCTCTCCAAACAGAAAACGTTCGACAAAACCAGGAGCCGTCATTGACTCTCTGCTGCAGTAGGTGTGACCCATTCAGAATTGCTGTAAAAATCAGTGAGTGTATCAGATTTGGCCAGAATATGGAATTCAAGAGATGGCACGGTTTGACATGGCTATAAAATCCATGCCTTGCTGGTATGGAGCTTTATTTTAAAAAAAAAGTATTTTTCCTTAGTTGCCTGTATATTGTATGTTATATTAACATAATATTAAACTGGTATATATGATGGTTGTGAAATTCCATGTGTTAAACGTGTTGTGCAGGGAAACTATTGTTGGCAATCCTTGTTGAAATGTATAGAAAATAAGGGTTCTAGATGTGTGTTTCAGTGCTAGACGTGTTAGCTCAAAACGGTTGATGAAATCCTAAAATTTAAGGCTGGTAAATCTAATCTATGCCCTGCTTTGCACATAACTGGCAGCTTTCACTATTGTCCTCTGTTGCACTGATCTGTATTTGAAAGTGGTTGCTGCAAACCTTTAAAAGCATCAAACCCTTTTATTTAAATGTTCCTCACTGTGGCTATTAACCGGATCATACTGTGTATCAGATACACAGTCCTCTTCCCTTCATTTGCTGTCTTGCTGCACAGAGAAAGTAGTTGGGTAGGAGAAATGTGAGTTACAAAAGTCTGAGACTTCTGGGAAGGGACCATGCTCCGTTGAAGTGCATCGAAAAACAAGGGTGTCTAAGTAGTGCTTTTGTTTTTGTCTCTTTTCGTGTCATCTGCTGGCACTGTGGAGAATGAGGCCTTTGATGCAAAGGCAAAAGAGAGATTTTCTTCCCTCCTTTTAAAGCTGTGTTGCAGCATTGCTTTGGCTGCTTTTTATGCTTCTGAGCTGGAATTTTTTAAATGTATGTGAATTGTTTTGTAATCTGAACAGCAGAGATTATTTAAGGGGCATGCTATAACTCTAGGACTTGGCTTCGGCCTTGGGACTGTGAGCATCGTGGCTCCATTTTCTCATCCCTGGCTACAAGGGCACTGGATGAATTTGAGGGTGAGGATGAATTTGACTCTGATATCAAAACAGGCATAAATTGCCCAGTTTTCCCAGGACAGTAACATCCCCTGAAATAGCTGATGCTGTTTGTGTTCCTGTGTAGACTGTATCATCTCGGGTTTCTGGCTATGCTCTGATAAGAGGGGGAAAAAAAATTCTGGTCTCCGATAATAACCATTTATTTGTGGTGGCTGCTCTTTTTCTTTGATATTTATGCTGCTAATAGACACATATCACTTTAATACATTGCTGTTGCGTCACAGGGAAAATGCATCTCCTCTGGATTGTGTGGGCTCTATAACTCGTGCTGGAGTACATCAGCTGTAGGCGTCTTAACAGCTCCTGTGCCAGGGTGCTGGTAATTAGCTGTACCTTCTGTGTAATTGTAGTGTTACCTAGAGGTTTAAAAAGCTGTGATTTCTAACAGGAGAAATCGAGTCCTTAAGCATGACAGAAAGAACAAGACAGCTCGTTAGGTGTCCTGAGTTCTTGCTAGTAGCCACGTTTGCAGTTACTAGAATGTTCTTGTGAAGTACTTAGTTAAAAGTTGATAGCCTTTCCTTACTATCATGATGCTTAACTGGATGTACCTTGTGGCTCTGTAACAGGTCTGTAACAGGACCTATAATAGTTAAAACTGATCTTATAAAGGCATATTTTGCCTTGGAGATATATTCAGTGCTGTTCTAAATGAGTTGTAAGCTTTTCCCTGTTTTTAAATGTGTTTTTCATGATTATGACCTAGAAGAACATACTGCCCTCTGTTTTGGAGGGGAGGGAGTGTCACCTAAGTTCATACAGGATCTGGCTTTGTCACCTAAGTTCATGCAAGATACAAATATGAACACTGACATATGTCGTCTTTAGCCTAGTGCTTAGAGGTAAATACTCAGAATTTTTGTCAATCCAAGCTGTGATTTGGTTTTGCTCTCGAGGAGCTGACCTTACTTTGAATGTGCTTAGATAGAGTTGGGTTATTTTGTGTTACGTACTTCTCATCAAACAAGATAGACTGGAAATGGCATACATGCTGTTTTGTCTTAGGCCTTATGTCAGTTCTGAGGCCAGGCAGATAGGTGCATAGTTTTGGCCTGTACTAGTTCTCAGAACCAGGGATAACTGTTGTATTTCCCTTTTGTGTTACGTCTTCTTGAGCCAAGATTTGTTGAATGACCTGTTTAAGGGAATTTCTCCTGAACTGTGCTTTCAAAAAGACCATTGAAAATTCTTTTACCTGGCAGACATCAGTGGCTTAAAGATACCACTGTGAACCATGACACTGCACTTAAAGTATTTAAAACTTAACTGTAAAGGCATATGCTTTACGATTTAATTAATGTTACAGTCTTGCTGCTGAAAACAATAGTACTCTACATATTTAAATGAGCCTTGGGGCAGAGAAAACACTTAGTAAATAGTTGCTTGCACACCTTTGTAATTGGCAGATTGGAGAAACTGGTTGTAATCTCCTGTGTCAGGGGCTTGGAGGACAGATTATCTGCTCTTACAAGAGGACTTTAAATAAAGTGGAACACTGTCGTGGTCATGATGATCTATTGGCTTGGCTTACCTTTTAACTGGTGTGTTTTGTTGAAGCTCTGGGAACTTTCTTTTAAAACCAGGGAGTCTGGCTTGCACGTGGGCCTTCTCTATAGCCCTGGACAATCTGTGAATGTCTAATGGGTCCATAACATGTTTTAATGAGGAAGGGCTTTGGTTTGTATGTTTGTTGTGGGTTTTTTTTAAGAGCTTAATACAACCGTTCTCATCCCAGGTCAGTAGTATATGCTCTATAATATTAATCAAAAATCATATTTCCATAATATATATAGTGTGTTCATCTTTGCATCTTGCTGCCAGAAAATTCCCCTCATTCTAGAACATTGACCTTAACATTGAGGGTTTTGACGCTTTATGTTGTTTAATGTTGTGTAAATGAATTATTTCATATTTAACTTGTTCCTAATCCTTGCTTTAAGAGGAGGGGAAAATGGTCGTTAGTGCCTTTCACTGACTACGCTGTCTACACGTGTCCGGCTTACACCGTTCTCAACAGTTCTGCTTAGCCAGTCCTGTGTATAGAGAAACTGCTACTCTGTTTGTATAATTTGTCTTCCTATTTATTGGTTTTCTAACTCTCTTATTTCTGATTATTCTTTGTTTTATGATTAAACTTTATTCATTACACTGTATATATCAGTACTGTGTCCCTGGAGCATGTTCATACCATGAAATAAAATTCTTGATTCCTAGTTCCACCTCTGTACATGTTTTTCAAATAACTTTTTACATCCAGCATCTTTCTAACTCGGTTGAGTCGGAAGAGATGTTAGGAAGGGTAGCTGAGATCGTCTGTATAGTTCCGGTACACAGCACTCACTGGAGAGGTTAGAGAAGTGAGTGTCGGGTGCATGGGGACCCTTGTTGCTGAGCTCCAGGGCAGCGGGCAGCAAGCTTTTGTGGAAGAGGCAGAGAGGGCAGAACAAGAGGATGCTTTGCAAGGCTCCGGAGGAGATCAGTGGGATGAGGCTGGTACATGGATGGGGAGGTGTGCCCCGAGGAGCCCCGTGTCCTCTGCTGGGGCTGTCCTGGAGCTGCCCTCGGGGAAGAGGAGAGCCCACCAAAACGGTGGGTGCTGCCTGTGTTCAGCACCTGTGCGCTGCACAGGTGGTACAGCGGAGGGGGAGAAGGCTTTTTCACACTGTTGGGGCTGTAAGTGTCCTCGTGCTACATGGCAAGCCTGTCGCACCCTGTATTTGTGTAGGTGGTGTGAATTTACCTGCAGTAATTGGAAATGTTTGACTCTGCTGCATAAGCTGTATTGGTCTGCAGTGCGTTTCTTCCTCTGGAAGACATTTCAGCCTGCTCGTGCAGTAGGTAACAGGTTTTTTGTGGTCTGCTAACTTTGCAGCTCCCCTGAGTACTGTGACTCAGCTGATGCACAAACCAAGTCCTGGGACTTTCCAAAGCACTCTCCCACGCTGTGCCAAAGTAAGCTGCAAAATGGTAGGCACCTAAATACCTGCGAGATGCCAGGCCCTTCTTGCTAGAGAGGCTTTAACCACCGCCCAGCTCTGCCCCAGGCTACAGTCATCCCTTCAACAGGGAAGTTTTGCTCCCTGTTGCTGTTTCGTTTTGCTGCTGTTGCTGCTGGAGCCTCTTTATTCCTGGGCCACAAAGGGCTATGCCATATATAAGTGGCATATATGAAAATATGTGGTTAGGAGAGAAATAAAAGCTATAAATAGACTGTAAAGTGAAGCGAGAACTAAGGGGCTGCTTAGCTATGGACCTAGCATCTCCCTCTGCAGCTCTAGCACAGGCTTCCCAGTTCATGGCTTTCAGAAGCGGGCCCTGCTTGTGGCCTGGCTCCTCTTGAGCTTTTTCCTCTGCTTAGACCGGCTTTCCTGGTGTTCGTACAAGCCTTAATCCCTCAGCACGGCACGTTCTTCGTCTGGGCAACTCTTGCCAGCATGGCCCTTGTGCTGGTGGCCTCTGGACTCTGTTCACTGTAGCCCTGTGTATTTCTTGCAGCTCATATGGCAAAGTTACCAAAAGGACTTCTGACTTCATGGTTTTAAACCCCCTTATTTCTAAAGCCCCAGTTCCATCTGGGAGTCTGGCTCAGCTCGCTGGAGCCAGCACCATCATCCTGTGCCCTGGTTTCCAACCCAGTCACAAACTTGTCCCTTTCCAACAACATGGATAGAAAATACCCAGCCTTTCTTCCCGGCTCGGC